ACTTTTCTGTTCACTAGTCGCGACCCGTGCGATGCAGAGTTTTCTATTGGTGGCTTTAACGATAACTTCAACTCTATTTATTGGTCCAAGCAAGATACGACTTATTTAAAATTTCTCTATTGGAAATAAAAAATTCGGAAAGTCAGAAAGGAAATTCTGGGAGGTACTGAGGGTTCGAATCCCTCTCTTATTGTTCTCGTTGATGACTTGGGATGATATATTTTCTGAAACTTTTTTGATATTCAATATTAAATTTAATGGATATGGTATATATGTAACAAATGTAAACAGGTCGAACAAATTAAAAAATTCATAAATTATTGAAACTTCCTTATACACAACATTTTTTGTTTGATTTGGTGGTGAGTCATCGTCACTACAGACTAATATTTTCAAACCACTTCGATTGGTGACACGGGAGACAATAACATATAACTGCACATGACAGAATATCGACTTCTTTAGAAATAAACCAACATGTGATAAAGATTGTCCCTGACTCTTGTTTACAGTCATGGCGCACGAAACCATAATAGGAAATTGCCGCCTCTGGAACTTGAAAGGAATTCTGACATCGGAAGGAGTGATAGCCATTCTAGGAATCAACACCATCTCGCTATCGTGATCCGCAGTGAGTATCTTACACTCGAGACCATAAGTGGAGAGTTTTGTCACAACCAACCGTGTCCCATTACATAAACTCATAGAATGATCCATATTCCGCAACAATATGACGGGAGTTCCAATCTTCAAATGAAACTGATGATTTGAAATTCCAGAACATTTGAATCTATTCAAGAACTCAGGCGTATGTATATCAGAAAGAAAATCGTTATTAGAGTCTGACTTGCAAGTACTATCGAAACTTCAGTACGTATGACCATCTAATAAATTCAATGATGTCACTCAAGATGTCTATCACGATTCTTTCCGATTCAAGAATATTAGAATTATTCGAGATTTTTTTTTTCACGAAAGGTGCGTTGGCCTGTTTATTCAAATAATATAAAAAATAAAATTATAATTAAGCCATAAAGTATCATAAAATCGAAGGTGAGAATATCATGATCTATATATAAAAAACATATATATATATATATATATATATAATAAATACCATTTGTAATATCATTAAAAAGTAGATGATTTGAAGCATTTGATGAACTGCCTGATCCAATTTTGATTTGGCGTTCGCTAACAATTGATCCAATGCGAAAATCTGGATTCACATACCTATATATGAAAGGCCCATAAAAACACACATTTGGACATACCTGATGTATAGTTTTCCAGCTTCTTCATTGCCACATATTGAAATTTGTCGTGTAAGATTACAAAAGTTCTTTTTTTTAATAATTAAATGGGGTGAGGTTTCTATGGTTTTTTCATCTCAGAGTATCGGTCAGGCTTGATCGATTTCTGAAAAGAATGAAGTGATCAACAAGACAAAGATAAAAGTTCTCAGGATCATGAGAAAATAACGATTTTTAATAATTAATTCGATTTCTGATACGGAGGATCGTCTCTAAGATGCAACAGTAAAGCATACTCACATCATATTACAAATCGAGCTCAATACTGTAGAGACACGTGTTGATAACGTGTTATAAAACTAGAGGAAAAGAGAAAGAATAGAGAATGTATTCTCTTGATATACTTTTCATTATAACCGAAACTCTTACTTATATGAAACTTCTGATGGCACAACTTGTAATAATACAAATACATCGAGGACAAAATAGTCATTCATATATATTATTTATAACAAGTATTTCATAACACATACTCCCTCTGTTTCTTTATACATGTCGTTGTAGATTGTCTTTTGTTTTGCAAATTAGTTGTCGTTGAAAATATTTTATTCATTCTTTCAACTTTATACTCTTTCTCAAAATTTGAAATTTGGATTTTGGAGTGCCCAGGTAAAAAAAATTTGGGAAAATAGAAGATAAATTGAAGTCACCGCCAGAATTTTTTATGCTTATCCAAATGAAAATGGAGCGAGTAATTATTTAATAATTCAAACACTAAATTTAAGTGAATTAGCATAAGATAAGTACACAACCCATTGAAATCGTAATTTAGAAGTTTTAAATTAAAACGACATGTATATAGAACAGAGGGAGTATCATTCATTGCATAATACTTATTTTCAAGTAAAATCTCAAATGTCCGAGCGCATCCGATCACATTACCCGTACTTTATTGACAAACACTGTCCGAATGGCCAACAGCACAACTGGATCCTTAGAATCACATAAGAGGCTATCAGCATTACCAGTCATGATAAATATCATGATAAATATCTGAGCCCTCCAACTTAAAGCTTTGTCCTTACATCATTGAAGACAATCAAAACCTTTCCTATTGCTTTTCGATCTTTGAGCGCCACAAAAGCAAGATTCGACTGTTGAAACCAAATAAAGTGTACCAATTGTCAATTCATGCACATGTGAATGCATTCCAGAATTTTCAACAAAATTAATACAATTAAATAGCCAATTAAGGAAGATTACGTCTAGTAAAATCAGTATAATAAGGTAATTCCATTCGTACCCCAACTTTGAGTTTTCTGGATACTTACTGAATCTACAAGCCTAGTCTTCAAGAAAAATAAAAAGATAAAAAAAATAAATAAATAATAAAAAAAAAAAAAAAAAAAAATCTGCTGTCATCTGTCATTAAACTTACAAACATCGTAAGGCATAACTACCACTCCTGAGATTTGCACTTCTTTACTTCAGAAACTATATCCTGGAGAATTGATTGCGCCTTTAAATTTATGAGTGTAACTATAACATTTCCATATATGTAAAAGAGGTTCTTGTGAAAAATAAAAATGTAAACAAAATCAAACTTAAAGGGATTTTCTGAATATGATCTTTATAACCTAAGGTAGTAATTCAATAATCATTTCTCTTATTATATATCCCTTAGTGGGGATGCAATTTGTAAAATACAACAAAAAAAAGGGGTAAATTCGTAAGATTTTGATTTTTTTTATCATGCGTCTTTCCATTGCAGATAGAGTTTGTGTACCAAGTGGTACTTGCAATTTCGCAAGATAACTGACGTTTTTGTAATTAGACATTCAGCAAACCTCAAGGGCATTTTTATATATCTAACCTTAAAGTCGAAAGTGAATTCAAATGTGTGTGTAAATGATAGAACCAGCCAATATATCGTTGCTCCTTCATTGTCCAACAATCGCAAGCTGGAAATTTTTAGAATCTTATGTCTCATATAAAAATAAAATAGCAGGAATTTCGAAAACCTATGTCTACTTTAAATATCCCCTAGACACAAGGTAATACCAGTGTTCTAAAAGTCCTTAGGCGCTAGGTGGTGGACTAGGGCCTAGCGCCTAGGGGGCTTAGTGGCGCCTAGGCTGGTCGAGAAAATATTAATAAATTTATTTATAATTGTCAAATGGCATGCATAATTTATATATTATATAAAGTATATTAAATAATATGATCAAATACAAAGATTATGCAAAATATTGTGCATTCATAATTATTGTATTAATTGTAAAATAATTATTAATATTTTTATTATATAATTAATATAAATTTCATGCGCAAAAATTAAAAATTAGACCCCCGCCTAATCGTTTTAGCGTCTATAACGACCGTTTAGTGTCTGAATTTTACGCAAAATATGGAACCAACATAGTGCAGAGCTCCAGAGACTGTGAATAATGCACAGTAACAGCATGTGTAAAAAGGACATTTTTTATATAGATGTATTTACATATAATTATATATGTATCATTTATTCCATTAAAGATGGAGAATATTATTTCTGCAAAATGAGCAATATTGATATTCTCACCTCATATAGGCTAAAAGTATGCGAAACCTTGACGGTGATTAAGCCACTCGCCAACCAGGATAACAGTTCCTTCAGTGAATTCCTTAGAACATGCGGCAAATGTATTCTGTAACTTCCCCAGTATAGTCCATGAACTGTCCAGTTCTACAGGAAAAGGGAAAGTAGAAGAAAATTTAGTTGACATGAAACACATAAATTGACCGAAAACAATATAAAAGGTATCCATACAAAGCATATTTGAATTTCAACTAGGGTGTATAGATGCAGCTAGCTTCTTACAAATATTCTCCAGTTAGTAGCAACTAGCACATAATAGCAGGCAGTAAATAAGTGAAAGTGATCAGTATTAATAGTAGAAGATCTAAGCTTTTTTTTCCAATGCTTCAGCAGACCTTGTGAGGTATGTACCTTAACAAGAGCAATATTTGCTGGGATTACAGGCACTTCTCCACTTGCAAACCCTATAACCAAGATTTGTGCTCCCCACTTCAACAACTTAAGCGTTTCTTTTGTAAGCTTGCCACCAACTGGATCATACAAAACGTCAACTCCTTTCAGATTTTTGGATTTCAGAAACCCGTTAACACTTTCAGTAATGTTCTCTTTGCTCACATCCACAATGTGATCCACACCCATCGACTTGAGAAATTGCACCTTCTCAACTCCCCTGCCAGATAACACTGAATTATTGTTGTAAAATATAAGATGCCCTTGTTAACAGTTAAGCCACATTGTTCTAAAATCGAACTACCCCTGTGGTTTAGCCTAGTTACCATAGAAAACCGAATTATGTTGAAAGATGGACAGAACCCCAATGTATTGTTTCAAGTGGCTATGTGTGTGTGTAATGAGACTTTACTACATGGCTACTTTTGTAATTTTAATCCTAATTGGAATGATAGTTGTGGCTATTTCGAGTCGTTTATAAGGAGTACTTCAGGTACCTAGCAACAGCAATAACATCGGCACCACAGACCTTGCCAATTTGAACAGCAGACACTCCAACTCCACCAGCTGCACCAAGAACCAGCAACACCTACATTTAACATACCCCAAAACTACCAAATTTAATTCACGAATATAATTTCTCCAAAAATGCATAATATATCTCTTCTCCACAAATAAATCAGAAATTTCCCTCTACCTGACCAGCACGCAGTTGTGCTCTATGAACAAGACCGACATGTGATGTGCCGTATGCAACTGGAAGTCCAGCAGCTGCAACCAGGTCGCATCCTTCAGGCACTAGAAATCTGCAATTGGTGTTCTCCATTTATAAGTTAAGACTACAGGCATGAACTAAAAAAAGATCCACGTATTGTCACATTTTATGAAGAAGACTTCAACTAAGCAATGAATTTTGATGCATTTGTCCATTTCGTGCTAACGCGCAGAAGCTACATCAGTTGATAGGAAATATATATTGCTTAGGAAATACTAGAAACAACCCATGACAAGAAATGAGTTCCAAATAGAAAATTCACATCACACTCTTGATAAAGGCCCTTCTACTATTTAATTATTTATAGTAAGAAATTTAGTTATCTATTTAGTATCTCTTGCAATGCAGTTTTATGAACCAGCTGAAGTAATTACCATCCAATTGAACCATTCAGCTCGTGTTACACACATAGCCAACAAATAAAAGAACTCAAACACAGAACAGAACACATATCACATGAATTGGAATAAAAATGCTCACAGCTCGGATTCATCAGCCACCATAAATTGGGCGAATGATCCGGCGGCCGCGAAGGAGCAAACCGGATCCCCAACCTTGAACCTGGCGACTCCAGGGCCCACGGAGTCTACGGTGCCGGAGTAATCGGATCCAGGGATAAAGGGTAGCATCTGCTTCTCCTGGTACTTGCCGAGGATCTGGAGGTAATTCGCGAAGTTCAAGCTGGTCGCTCTGACTCGGATTCGAACCGCCGTCGGCGTCTTGAGTTGGGGGATCGGGTGAGTCGTGGAAACTGTCAAGGCCGAGTCCGGCGTGCTGTCCGGCGGTGCTGTCGGGTCGCCCAGATTTCTGCAGAGCAAAGCTTCCATCTTTCTCTCGCTAGCGCACTGGCACACTTCACTACGTAAACACGCGCCTTACCTGTATACGGAAGCAGAATCGGCCCTATTTTACTGATGTATACATACATGTACACGTGGATTTTTATTATAAAAATAAAAAACTCTTTTTTAAATGTGTAAATTTAATCAAACTTTTTCAAGTTTGGGAAAAAAATCAGTTTTTATTATGAAAAAGTGGAATGTACCACTATTCATGAATAGTAATGTGAATAGTAAAGGGGTATGGAATGTTAATAATTTGTATAGAATTGTCGGTAGAATTTGCCTATAAAAAGGCACATCAAATGAAGTGAATGAATACGCATTCAAAAGAAAGAAGAAAGATTGAGTATAAGTTATATCTAATTTCTATATTGTGTTCTTTAGCTTTTCGTTTTCATAGCACGTTATCAGCGCTCTGCCCGGTCAGAAAGGTAGAAATATACTAATATGTGTGTATATACATTACATAAAATTAGTATATTTTACTAATCTACATATTACCATTATTTTTGACAAGTACGGCTCTGCCATAGTTAAGAATATGTGGTATGAATATATTAAATATGACATTATACTAATTTACATATTACCATTATTATTGGCAAGTAAGGCTCTGTCATAGTCAATAATATGTGGTAAGATGACATTATTAAATTTACTTATGGATTACTAATGATTAAGAAAAATGACTTCATGTTATAATAAAAAATAAATACATAATATTATTACTTGTACTTAACACCCACAAAACGGTTTACCCAGTAATGTGGCGTGAAATTTATAACTACTTATTTTTGTACCCACCGAAAGATTTATCGATTAGTGTGGAGTGACATTTTATTTGTTTTGTTACTTGTATTCACTAAAAATGTTCACCTAGGGACTCGGAGAAATTCTAAGGTAATATGCATGATTAATTATAATTTTATAATCATGAATGATATAATTAACAAATATTATATCAATGATATGATCCCAACGGCTAGTTAACGGTTTTTTGCAACGGCTATTTATCAATCTATATATATAACACTACACTTCATATATTAACACTCATTCCAAAATATTACAATATATTCTCCTCCAAAGAAAAACAAAAATGTTTGATTTATTGTTTATAATTACCATTATATTGGTTATTATATACGCTTTAGGAATATTCACGATGTTGTATCATACTGCTGAATTTATATTTTATGTATTACGTCTTTTTCTAATGTGTTTCATATTAGCAGTTCTTATCGGTTTGAATAATGAATGATTGTATTTGTAATTTTCTTAAATCTAAGCATTGATGTTGTATTTTATAGTTACCATGTCAAACTTGGTGAAGCTCGAGTTTGAGGCACTTGACATTACTGGACACTAGATGCTGAAATTCATCTAGATGCAATGAGATGGGAAAAACAATAATTTCCCCAAATGATTCATCCATACAAGAAAAAGCGAAAGCCATGATATTTCTAAGGCATCATATGAATGAGGGGTTAAAAAATAAATATTTAACTGTGAAAGATCCAACGGATCTTTGGAAAGCCTTGAAAGAAAGGTATGATCATCAAAAAACAGTTATTATCCCCGGGCTCGCCATGAATGGATGTCATTACGTTTCCAAGATTTTAAAAAAGTAAGCGAATATAATTCAACAATGTTTCGAATTTGCTCAGTGTTGAAATTATGCGGGGAAATGGTAACTGATTGATATGCTGGAAAAAACATTTCCCACGTTCCATGCGTCCAATGTACTTTTGCAACAATAATATCGAGCAAAAGGTTTTGAGAAATATTCTGAGCTGATTTCTTGTTTGTTGCTGGCTGAACAAAATAATGAGCTATTAATGAAAAATCATGAATCTAGACTCACGGGGTCTACTGCGGTTCCTGAAATAAATGTTGTAATATCTAGATAGGGAACCGAAAATGAAAACAACCATACTCATGGACGCCGATATGACTCCGGTCGTGGTCGTGGCGTGGCCGTGGATATGGTTCTGATCGCAGGCCGAGACCATAAATTTCATCGAGGATATAATTCAGGCCGAGAATACAATCGTGGACATGGCCAAAATGATGCCCAAAACTATGGAAGGGGGATAAATTTTCAGCAAAATTCTGGACATGATAAAGGGGAAGAAAATTTCATGAAAAATAACGTTGATAAAGCATGTTATCGATGTGGTATAAAGGGGCATTGGGCTCGAAATTGTCGAGCCCCAAGGCACGTGGTTGAAAGTTACAAATCCCATAAATTAAAAAAGAAAAATGTTGAAACTAATTTTACGATGGGAGAATCTTCTGGAAGTGAACTGATACATCCAGAGGATGACTACAACATCGATGATATGCTTAGAATGGATTTTGCTGATGCAGCGTTTGAAGAAGGAGCCGCAAATAATCAAGAATAATTGATGATCTGTTTTCTGCGTGTTGATGAAATTTCTAAGTATGATTGTAATAGTTTGTGAACTATGACTGTAATAATTGATGATCTATTTCGAAATTGATCAATAATATTTTTCATTTTTTGTTTTAGATCATGGAATATCCCGAAATCAAAACGGAGATTTATGTCTTGCAGATTGTGCCACTACCCACACTATACTCAAAGACATTAAATATTTTGTTCACTTAGAAACAAATAAATCGAAAGTGAACACAATATCAGGGAGTGCAAAGATAATTGAGGGGTCTAGAAAGGCTATATTTTTTATGATAGGAGGTACAAAATTCACATTGAATGATGCGTTATTCTCCTTAAAATCAACAAGAAACTTGTTCAGTTTTAAAGATATCCGAATGAAAGGATACCATGTTGAAACAATGAATAAAGGGGGAGATGAATATTTGTGCATTACCTCAAATATAGCGGGAAATAAATGTGTTTTGGAAAGGTTACCCGCTTTATCCTCGGGTTTATATTACACTCGCATTAATATAATCGAGGCTTATGCTGCAACCGATTCAAAGTCGAATGAACTTTGGCATGATCGACTTGGTCACCCTTGCTCGATAATGATGAGAAGAATTATTAAAAATTCTAATGGCCATCCATTAAAAAATTAGAGGATATTGCAAACACATGAATTGGCATGTGCCTCAGGTTCTCAAGAAAAATTGATAGTGAGACCATCACAATCTAAAGTCGGACATGAATCGCCATTATTTTTAGAAAGGATTCATGGTGATATATGTAGACCTATGTAATGCCCCGTTTATTTGTGGATTATTTGGGATTTAATATTATTATTATTATTATTATTATTATTATTATTATTATTATTATTATTATTATTATTATTATTATTAGTGTTATTATCAATTAGTGATAATATTTATATTTATTTTTCTTGAATGCCATAATATGTATTAATTGTCAAATGTGATTAAATGCTAATTGTGAAATTTGTCTAATTGATTTGTTTGTGATATATTTAAATTGTAAATGTGTATGTAATAATGTGTAATATATATATTTATTTTTCGCTTCATTTTTATCGCGCGTTTGCATTTGAAATCGAGCCCGATAAAATTTCGTTGGAACCGAATTTGGCCCGTAAATATCCGTTTAAATTTTTAATCGAGCCCGTGAGCCGATTTGATGTCCCAACCGGCCCAAAATCCTTTCGACCCAAATTTCTCGGGCCCGGCCCGACAGATTTTTCCTTTTCCTTTCTTCCTAGCGTGCGTGTGTGTGAGTTTGTGTTGTCTTGGACAACAAGAGATAAAAACCTAATAGTATATGTATATATATATTTGCCATCTCGTTTTTTTGTTCCCTTCTCATCAAACCCGCAGCTAAATTTTGATCACCTCCTCCCTCGTCTCTCTCTCGCTGGTTTACTCTCGCAGCAGGAAAAAAAAAAATTATTATAGAAACGACCGCCGAGCGTTGTTTTCGAGGTTCGAAAATCCGATCTCCTTCGCCCTGTTCGTAAATTCCCGAAGGAGGTAGTCCGTTAATACTCCCTCTATTATTTCGAGTATTTTTGTAGGAATAGATTGGATGAAGGTTCACGTATTCATGTCTTAAAATTTGAGAAGTTTTCATAAGACTTGATATTATTTTTTTCGGATGTCATTTAGCCTCTGATTTCGTGGAAATTTTGGTATTTTGCTTGATAAATAGTTCTAATTTTTGCTGTGGGATTCTGAACAGAAAGTCGTAAGATTTACATTCTCTTTATTCAAATATTTTTAGCAGGAGTTTAAACCTGCATTAAGTTTGTTTCATTTTTTTTTTTTTAAAAAAAGAAAGAAAGAAGAAGGAAATACTTCTAATTGTCATGGTGGCAGGGAAACAAATTCGCATGTCTAGCTTGTATACCCTTTATTCTCCATGTTCCATCAATTGTGACATTTTTTTTTTATCTCCAAATTATTCTAAGTATGTGTGAATTTATTGATGTGATTATGTGCGAATATATATTGTTATGATTTTATGTGTTCGTATGTTCGGGACCTCTTTGATTTTCTCAAGAATCGAACGAGACCTCGAAAGTCGTGTAAGTCGGTGGATATTAGAATAATGTTGAGTCCTTGGTCTTATGAAAAGGCCTCGGACGAGAAATTTTATGTTGTGATTTAATTGCCAAGTTGTCGAGCTTGTTAACCGCTGTTTCGGTGTTCGAATTTTTAAAAATAGCTCGCTGCTCGAAACGATGTAAAATTTTGAGGGATGTGTTATCTGTTCATTGCCTGCCTTGTGTAAAATTTTCGTAATTTTTGGAGGCCTGTAGCTATTTTTAATAAATAAATTGTAATCTGCCCAGAATATTGTTAGATGCATAAAGAATTCATTCCTGACTGAAATGAGCTGAAATTCGATTATGTCATACCTCTGTGAATTATATGTGTTGTGTTAAATTTTTAGAATTTTTGGAGTTGATTTGGTATGGTTAATATTTTATTTATTGAATCTGTAGAAACGTTGTTTGAATTTTTATAAATCGGATACTGCATGGAAAATTCTGAAATTTTACTGAGAGACATATTTTAAGTGTTTGATCATTTTTGTAAAAGATAGGAATTTTTAGAGTCCG